GGGTTATAAATGGCTAGTGGTGGACTATCAAGGAGCATTTGTTTCAGTTTTATAAAGCTTTCATTTGCCTCCTTGTCCCAGTGCAACTCAGCTTGTGGACTAGTTTTGAGTCTTTGGCGCAGGGGTTCAACTAGTGTAGCATAGTTAGGAATAAACTTGCTGAACCATGAAGTCAGTCCCAGGAAGGAGCGTAGTGCTGGCATGTCCTTCGGTGGAGGTGCTTCCGCGATAGCAGTGAGATGATCCAAGCTAGGGCGTAAGCCGTCTTTGGAAATGACATGGCCAAGGAAAGTAATGTCTGTTTGGGCAAATGCACTTTTCCCGAAGTTGATCTGCAGTCCAGCTTCACTTAGGCGCTTGAGGACTGCTTGTAGATGACGGTCATGCTCTTCTTTTGAGGCTCCATAGACAACAATGTCATCCAAGTAGTTCTGTACACCTGGCAAGTCCTTTAATATGGTCTCCATCATCTTTTGGAAAGCAGATGGTGCAGATGCAAGACCAAATGGAACACGTGTGAACTGGAACAAGCCGTCGTGAGTTATGAAAGCAGTTAGTTTGCGACTTTCCGGGTGCAGAGGTAACTGGTGGTATGCTGAGCTTAAGTCGATCTGGCTGTAGTGAGTGGCGCCAGACAGTTCTGCAAAGAGGTTCTCCATATGAGGAAGTGGGTAACAGTCCATTACGACACTTTTATTTGGTTCATGGAGGTCAACACATAAGCGTAGCCCCCCTTTGCGTTTCCTTCCCACAACCAGAGGACTCACCCACTCCGAAGCATCCACTCTTTCAATGATGCCTGCTTGCAGTAGTCGAGTCAGTTCAGCTGACACTTCCTTACGTATGCTGAGCGGTAGACATCGTAGTTTCTGGCGTACTGGTTTGATTTTGTTGTTGACTTGCACTTTGTGAATGAATCCTTTGACACATCCAAGTGTTTGAGTTGGAGTATAGTCAATGTTGTGCACTGTGCCAAGCTCACCAGCAGATGGCGTGTTTGCATTGTCCACGTCAAGGAGTACTTTGCCATCAATGATGTTGACCCCCAGGGTTTTAATCAGGTCCAAACCCAGCAAGGGGGATCCAGCTTTCACAATATAGAAAGTTGCTGGCACAGTCTTTTCTCGTTTAGTCGTAATTTCTGCATGGAGACAGCCCAGGACAGGTAAGTGACCCTTGGAATAAGTGACTAGCTTGATTTGAGGCTCTTGGAGTGTGCAGTTAGCAAAATGTTTCTTGTACAATGTCTCTGGTAAGATGGAAACAGAAGCTCCAGTGTCCACTATTAGTTCAACTGGATGCTCGTTCCCTTTTGGTGCCTCAATATTGACTGCGCACGTGAGCTTATCAAATGCTGCAGCTGCCAACTTAACATTATCAACACAAAGAATGGCTAACTCAGGCACGACAACTTCTTGTATTTGGTTTACAGATTTAGCACCTGATCTGCATACCTTGGCAAAATGTCCTCTTTTCCCACAGTTATTACACTGTACTGAAGCAGCTGGACAGTTTCTGTCAGTGGCAATATGTTTGTTTGATCCACATCTAAAGCATTTGCGTTGTTGCTTATTAGCCGTTGTAGCTTGCTTGTTACGGTCATGAGCACTGGACTTGGTGGGACATGAATCTCTTTTCCCTCGAAAAGTTGAGCGGGACGCACCGATTGCCTGTACTGGCGCCGTGGGTGCATGTCTGTTAGCTGTTAGCAGCGTAGCGTTTTTCACCGCAGCCTCAACTTGTGTAGCAATAGTTTCCGCTTTGTCCAAAGTCAGTTCGTTTTCAAGGAGGAGTTTATCTCGCACAGCACTGAGATGTGTATTTGAAATGAGCTGATCTCTTATCATCTCACCCTCCATCACTCCAAACTCGCATGATGCAGCCAAGTCTCTTAGCGCAGCCACGTACTGAGTAGCCGTCTCGTCCGAACGCTGAACACGTTGTCGGAATGTGTGTATGCAGGCTACGACATTGACTTTCGGGACGAAATGCTTTTCGAGTGCAGCCATCGCTGTTGCCATTGTGTCACCTTGGTCCGGTAAAGTGTAGAAAAGACGTTGTCCTTCTGGGCCAAGGCAGTGCAGTAATACAGCTCGTTTTCTGGCGTCTGGCCATGCATCTCCAGTAGCATTTATAACCAGCATGTAGTTAGCAAACATTTTCCGCCAAGTAGCAAAAGGAATAGGCGGCTCACCAACATGTGGAAGAAAAAACGGTGGGCACGGTACTGACGCGCTCATCCTCGTCGCCAATTTGTTATGTTGGTGGTGTAGAAGAAAAACGAAGGCTAGATGAATCTTCAATAATATTTAATGCAGCAATCCGTTTTTCCACATGGCCACGTTACACTGGTATTAACTTTCTTCTCTGTTACGTCGCCCTCTACAGGTGAGGTGTACATCTCAGTAATATTACACTAACCACTATAGTAATCACATTTACATATCTGTCAACACAACAGCACTGTGAAGCAACACAGAGAAGCGTGTCAGCCCTGACAACAACTGTATTATAACAGGTCAGTTAAAGCTCTCCCACCTTTACCAGTAGGTGTACACATCCGTTTCTGATGATCAAGATGATGAATCATGGAGACCTGCCACAGTGACACAACCTGCTCACACTGACAGGAGCTATCACATCAAACCAGAGGAGGGACAGAGTTTTCGGTGCAACAGACGCCACCTTCATGAATCCAAAGAGACTCCAGCCATACATGAAAACAACCAAAGATGTGACCAACCAACCAACCTACTTCAATCCAGTGGCACTGAACCTGTCCCAGCCCCAAATAGCCAGCTACAGGAGCAGCCTCATTACACCACAAGATCAGGCTGTGTCATTAAGCCTAGAGAAATACCTGACCTATAATTGTTAAGAGTTGTTTACATTATTGCATATTAGGCACTCTGTTACTGTTCACACATTGTTTACAAAATGTTTCACTGCCTATAAATAAAAAAAATAAAAAAAGAATTTGCCTTACCTCACCTCAGTGACATTTTACTAATGTTAGGGTGACCAAATGTCCGTTTTTCCCCGGACATGTCCGTATTTTGCGTCCTGTCCGGGGCATCCGTTTTTTTTTTTTATAAAGTGATGCAAATGTCCGGGTTTTCAGTACCGTTCATTGGGGGCATTAAACTGAGTGTCTCTCGTAGCGTCTGTGACTCAGAAGGAGCGAGACACAAACAGTCGGTCAGTCTGCAACATACTGAAGCACAAATGCGCATTTAACAATGACTTGTACAAGAAATTCTCCGTTTTCCATCCCCGTCGGGACAAGTGTGAGTCTATGTGTACAGGTTGTGAGGTGAGACTACAGTGATCCCTCGTTTATCGCAGGGGTTACGTTCTAAAAATAACCCGCGATAGGTGAAATCCGCGAAGTAGTCTGCTTTATATTTTACAATTCTATCTGTGTTAAGGCTGTAAAACCCCTCCCCACAAACTTTATACACTTTTCTTAGACAGGACAGGTGCAACCCTTTTTACTTCCTTCTTAAAACTTGTTGCTGCTGTTGTCCTTGTGTTATTTTCCTCCTTCTTTATGTAACAAACTGAAGATTCATTTATTCCGTAATGTAGCCCTACAGCGCAGAGTCCCGCACGGGTCCATTTTGGAGATCCCCAGTACAACAACGCAACCACGCAGTACAGGACCACACCTGCCCGTTAACCAGAGATTAAATCAAACTTTTGCGCTGTCTATGCCAGGGACTGAACCAAGACTAAACCAGGACTAACCCAGGACTGATTCCAGGACTGAAGAGGAGGACTAATCCACAACTGAACTAGGACTAAAACAGGAATAAACCAGGACTAAACCAGAACTGAAACAGGACTCACCTTCAGGACGGGCTCGGAGGTGACTGCAAGAGAAAGGACCGGCTCAGCTCTGCACCTCACGGAGTTAAACGCGGCAATTGCCCGATCGCACTTTGCGGACAAACTGCTCGGCGTTTTCTCTCTTAAATCCAAGATTAGTCCTGGTTTAGACCTGGTTTAGTCCTGACCCCCACCCGTGTGTAATTACTACCCGCCTGTAATACACAATACGCGTTCACGTGGCACAGTATGGATTGTTTTATTGTATATCCCAACTTATTTTTTTTTTACAGTCCTTAGATTAACCCTAATTTCAAATAAAACAAGGCAAACATGTGTTTATAATGACTACATTCTAGGCCAGAGAAGCAAAAAATCTTTAAAAGGTTTACCTCCACATTAGCTCTCACAGTCCTCCTGGATGCACACTGCATGTCCTCTGCCCCTTTAACTGTCCTGTGTCCTGCTTATGGCTCTATTAAAATAAGCCTAATAATCCTGCTACATTTGAATTTTCCCACCCAAAATTTTGGGGAGGGGAATTCCAGAGGGAGGAGCTTCACCGCAAACGATAACAAAGTCATATTTCCACAGCTTGATTAAAATATGCAGATCTAACATTGGCCACAATCAAGCGACCTTGTAAGATTTAAACATATTGGACAGAAAATCGTAAATAAGTAATGTTATTGTTGTCAAATTTGTGTTTGCAATTTGAACAAGCCCTCTAGGACAATTTTTTCAGTGTACTACTGACCACTCGCATTCTTATCTCACATTTGCCCACTGTATTTGGTCCCAAACAGGTCCGCAAATTACTTTAATTGCATCTGGACGGCACACAAACATGTGAATGTTATGCATTTATATATTTACAATTTTGGCAACTCTTTGAACGCGCCACACCACACCCTCAGTCTGCTCCACTGCATCTGATATTCAGGCACAGCACACCTCTTGTTTTGAGCTCCACACCCCATAGTTGTGTGATACAATCCCAAATTTGGAGTTATCAGATTGTTGAAATGTGGTGTAGTTACAGTTACATCAGATTTTCTTTAATAATTGTTCATACCTGGCAAGGAAACTAGGCTGAAAGGGTATTGTTACAAAAATAAAAGAGAAAATGTCGATGGAAAGATTGAAGAATTGAAAACCCATTCTGCTTTCGCATGGAAATCCAGAAGAATCCTTTCTGTATTTGTTACACAGCCACCGGTACAGCGATGAGTCTGGATTTTTCCAGGCAAATTCTGCTTGGTCTTCATAATACAACAATTACTACTGTATACACATCAATTTATTAATGTAAAATGTAAAACTTATGTAAAAACACACGTAAACACACACACATACATAAACACACACATGTAAACACACACACATGCAAACACACACACGTAAACGTAAAATGTAAATGCACACAATGTTTAAGTTTAGCAAAGATTACACCCGGAGTTGATCTTGCCTGAGACAGACAACTCAGAGATAAAAACACAAGGATTTAGTTTAATACATTTATAAAATCATATTTAAGAGAGGATATTATGCTAAATCAGATTTTGTATCTTAATTAAAATCATGCCTGAAGTGGTTCTATATGTTACCTAAAATACTGTATTTATAGCTATTGTGGTGGTGTGGATATGTTGAATCACCGTGGTGAGACCCTTGAGTAAGAACTCAAATGATGAGTCACTGCATAATTTTAGGGTTGCTCAATGGAGATGAATGGAATTATTCACAAGCAAACAAACAGTAGCAACCAGAGTGTGAAGTGTGTGGTTTTTACAAAATAAACACATTTAATCAAAAATAATAAACTATATAATGACAAATCACAGATTGCATAACAAACACTTCTTGTGCACATATAAATACAGTTAATAAGCTCATGCTCCTCCACTGCAATTTATCATAAATACATTAGAGCAGGATATAAAACAATACACTACAGCTTCACAAACCTGATGCAATGTACAGTAGTTTCATTAGCAGAATCCATGCTGACTGTGGTGTGATGGCATGCTGAAGGGGGAGTGATGATGAGTAAGGGAAGATTCAAACTCACTTCAAACTAAACTGAAACAAATTTAATATTTTTAAGACACTGTTTTTGGTGAGAATAGCATTTAAAAATAAATAAATAAAAATAAAAGGTAACATGATGCCTATTTTTATATAGTACAAAACTGCAACAATCACAATGATGTTCACAAGAAACAAGAAAGCAGGAAACAATCGATTGTCCCCTAATGCACCTGGTACATCTGTGACAGACCAATTGGAACTCTGGTTAAACTAAGGGTAAGAGACATGAAGATCTGCACCAGCTTAGTTTCAGAGCCACTGTACCACAAAAACAGGCCCTGTTAAACTGAACCTTCTTTGTGAAATGACATAGATTTCTCGGGTCATTGTGTAACATAGACCTGCAATTGAGTCTGATGCTCGAAGGCAGCTTTTAAAAGGAAAAATTTTATGTAACACATCCCAAGTTATGGTCTACCTCCAAATCAACTAAAGTAGTATCAATCATGCTTGATATGGTGAAAATAACAGCAACCAAATCCTCCTTTTTGTATACTGTAGAGGCAATATTACTTACTCGGTGGCCTCATTGATACAAGATCTTTTGTTGTCATGAAAAGTGGCTACAATACACAATCAGTCCCTTTGGTAGATGAAATGGTCGATAACTGCTTATTCATCACTACAAAGATGACAAAGGTTTCAAATATCAACAAGTGTGGGAATTTATGTCATATAAAAGGACTCACCTCAAACGCATTACTAAGAAGAACACTTACCACGTGAATATATTTAACATAACTGCTACTGACAGTGTGGATGTTATTTATTCTAGTGCAGTGCTACCCTATTCTAGTGGCGCATTGCCTGCAAAAATGCAAATGTGGACTGTATGGTCTACCCTATTTTTGGGATTGTTAGGTGAGTACTGATGTATGCAACAGATTACATGAGTCTATTAAACAATCTTTGATGCGACATGCTAAAAATGTTTTCATTAAAAATTTGCAGGCATAGCTACTGCTCAGAGGAAAGGTAAGTCAAACTATTAGTTCAATTTCAAAATCCATCTAAAATAGCTGTTCAATAAAATTCTGTAAACAGTTATTTTAAGATCATTCTAATTAGGAGATCTGCAGTGAATCTTCTGCAAGAAAAAGCATGTACCTTGGAGCAGAGATCACACTTTGAAGGAAGACATGTTTTAGTTATGGATGGCAGTAATTGGGAATAGCTTAAATCTTAAATCCATTTTTAAGTTTTAATATGTTTTAAAAAATGCAGAAAATTTTGATGATTAATATGAAAACATTTTTTAAAATAGACTGACTTTTTTTTCATCGTGGCCATCCCAGTCTTCTAATATTCATACACAAGTGATTGAATTTGAATTGTCTTTATTCTTTAACATTCAAAATTGAAAACTGGTTGAAAAAAAAGTGCAACAATCATTATAGTTTTCACATAACTGAATAATGATCTTATTATTGCCGTTAGTTTTTACATATTGTGTTGCTAATTAAATCACCCAAAAATAATTATTGTTTGTTTGTTTTGCCTTTTTAGCACCTCTCTATCCAATTAATGGCCTTTTTTCCCCTGCATCTGATGATGGAAGTTCTCCTTTAATACACCTACAACAATGTTTTATCTATTTTGGACGAGAGTATTGTCAGCTCTATGTATGAAACAATCACTGTTAAATTTGAACTTGCATTTATAATAGCTCAACTTAAATTTTTATTGATTGCAGGTCAACCAAAATGGACATTTGACTTTTGAAAGACCATGGGGGAGGTATATTCCACTGAAGTTTCCAATGTATGGACCCAAAGACATCATAGCTCCTTTCTGGACAGATCTGGACAACAGAAAAATTGGGAAAGTCATATACAACCAATACATCTCGGGCCCTGTCCTTAAACAAGCTACTAGTGACATTAATCAATACTTCCCAAAATACAATTTTGAAGCTAGCTGGGTTTTTGTTGCAACTTGGCAAGGAGTGGCCTACTATCCTAATGTAGGAGATGTAGGTACTGTTTTCTTTTTCTCCATAGTTATGTTTAACAGATGTGAATCTGACATTTGTTTTCCCCCTTAGGGTTCAACTATACAAGTTGTAATAATCAGTAATGGAAAACTGTCTTTTCTGCTAATGAACTATGAAACAATATACCCAACAAATCATAATGTGCAGGTAAGGTTAAAGACGACATATCATCTTTTTTTCTGATACTTAGTGTTGAATCATTTTACATTTTGTACAAAACAATACTGATATACAATTACTTAAAATTACTAACAGAAGTGGGGCAACAAGCCTACTGGAACAAGCAGCACTATTTTTTACTTTTAAACCTTTATTTTCTCAAATAAGTGCAACTAAACACAGCAAATAGGGCAAGAGTAGTGGGTAGGTGAAAATGAGAATTTCCTGAATACTCAGGCCTCAAATTCCTCAAAAATGCATGAATCAATTAATCAATCAAATCAGAACTTTGTGTAAGCTCAATGAGGGAATATGTTATAAGTTAACTTTACATTATATATACCCTTTAACCTATAAAATTTGATATTAAAATACTGTAGAGATACTAAATTAAATAAAAATCCTGTATGTTGTGTTTTACCAGGCAGGTTATGACACAAAGAACTCCACTGACTATTTCTCAATTCCTGGATCATTTTCTCCTAATGCAAGTGGGTCAGATTCCACCTTTTGTCGGAGCAGCAATATCAATGTCCCAGGACGTTGGGCCTTTCAAATAGATCAAGCATCAAATGGCCGTGAGTTACCTGTAGGTCTGTTATTCTTTGGTCTACTGCTCTAGATTAAAGAGTTAATATACAGCCCTGTTGAGAAATTTTATGTACATTTCTGTTTCAAACAAGGGCAGAGTTAAAAAGTACCCAATAAAAGATAGTATAATGGTATAAAGATCGCTTTTAACTATTTAGTATGATTCAAAATGCACATTCAGCCTATGATTCATATGGATAGTTAAAAAAAGTGCTGATTAACATGTTAACCTATTGCTGCTGTGCTTATGGTTTCCTATTTCTCTTGTTCAGCTGACAATGTGCCGGGAGTGTATTGGATCGACAGTACCTGTACAGTAAAATGCACATATGACAAATTTAACTTCTCATGTCACAACGAATCCTGTGCCTTTTCCGAAACATGTAATCGTTTAGATGAATACAGATTTATGTGCGGGTCGATCCAGAAGGCTACCTGCATCATCAGTGGTGATCCTCATTACACAACGTTTGACGGGAAGCGGTACGACTTCCAGGGCCCCTGCACGTATGTCCTGTCCCAGCAGTGTGATTCAGATCTGCCCAGCTACAGAGTAGAAGGCTCCAATGAGCATCGGGGCAGCTCTGCCACTTGGACACGACTGGTCAAAGTCTTTGTGTATAATGAAACCATTGAGCTTGTCAAAGGACATCGTGGTGAAGCCAAGGTTTGCAGTTATAATTTCAAGAGTACGCAACAGAATCAGGTTCTTATATATTAATGCTGTTGTTTTACAGGTCAATGGTATATTTGCAACGACCCCCTTCTCCTTAACCAATGGTGCGGTTCATGTTTATACATCAGGTTTTTCAATTGGTGTCAGTACTGACTTTGGTTTGGAGGTCTCCTATGATGCTCATCATCTTGTGAACATCAAAGTTCCATCCAGTTACCAGGGAGCAACATGTGGCCTTTGTGGGAACTTTAACAATGACCCAGATGATGACATTCAACCACCAGAAGGAGATATTGTGAGCCCTCTTGACCTTAGTCATAGCTGGTTGGTGCCAAATGCTGATGAGTCTGAATGCATGCCCTGTGAAGGTCAAGACTGTAGTCATTGTTCTGAAGATGAGAGGGCTTTATTCAATAATCCTGACAACTGTGGCATCCTTCGAGACAGATCTGGACCTTTTGCAGCTTGTCATGAGGTGCTTTCACCAGAGTCTTTTGTGTACAATTGTGTGTATGATCTGTGTTCGGAGGGAGGGCAACAAGACATTCTCTGTCTAGCCCTAAATGTCTACGCCAGTCAGTGTCAAGAAAAAGGTGTACAACTACAAACATGGAGAAGCCCCGGCTTCTGTGGTATATCAACCTCTACCTGTTTTAATTGTCTTAAATAATAAACAGGGATTATCCAGTTGATTTCATCTTTTTGTTGTAGAAATCATATGTCCAGAAAACAGCCACTTTGAGCCTCAGAGCACAGGATGTCCAGCTACTTGTGTCAACCCTGAGTCTCATAATGACTGTGCACTCGCTCCCCTTGAGAGCTGCGCTTGTAATGAAGGCTATGTTTTGAGCGGTGCAGACTGCGTGCCTCTCCATGAGTGTGGCTGTAACTTTGAGGGACTCTACTACCATTCTGGACAAACCGTAATACTTGGTCAAGACTGCAGCAGAATCTGTAACTTGCATTTCCGGTAACATGACTTGCCATTCACATGTTTGTGGATCACATGAAGAGTGCAAGGTGTTTGATGGAGAAAGAGTTTGCTACCCTCACACATGCTCCATCTCAGGTGACCCTCTCTATTTTCATTTTTATAACAAATCTGTAAATGTTGTTTGTTTGTGTTTAGAACTGAGATAAGAACTGTATCATTGACTCTAAGCTGCAACACAATTAATCAAGGGAGTAATATACATATTTTCCAGGTGTGCCCATCCAGCTGGGTGTGTCCGTCTGGACTGACAGTGCCTGTACAGTAAAGTGCACCTGCACCACATCTGGCTTGTCATGTCACAACGAATCCTGTGATATTTCCCAAGTCTGTGGCTCTCTTAATGATTTTCACTTTACCTGCCAGTCCATCCAGAAGGCTACTTGCATCATCAGTGGTGATCCTCATTACACAACGTTTGACGGGAAGCGGTACGACTTCCAGGGCCCCTGCACGTATGTCCTGTCCCAGCAGTGTGATTCAGATCTGCCCAGCTACAGAGTAGAAGGCTCCAATGAGCATCGGGGCAGCTCTGCCACTTGGACACGACTGGTCAAAGTCTTTGTGTATAATGAAACCATTGAGCTTGTCAAAGGACATCGTGGTGAAGCCAAGGTTTGCAGTTATAATTTCAAGAGTACGCAACAGAATCAGGTTCTTTATATATTAATGCTGTTGTTTTACAGGTCAATGGTATATTTGCAACGACCCCCTTCTCCTTAACCAATGGCGCGGTTCATGTTTATACATCAGGTTTTTCAATTGGTGTCAGTACTGACTTTGGTTTGGAGGTCTCCTATGATGCTCATCATCTTGTGAACATCAAAGTTCCATCCAGTTACCAGGGAGCAACATGTGGCCTTTGTGGGAACTTTAACAATGACCCAGATGATGACATTCAACCACCAGAAGGAGATATTGTGAGCCCTCTTGACCTTAGTCATAGCTGGTTGGTGCCAAATGCTGATGAGTCTGAATGCATGCCCTGTGAAGGTCAAGACTGTAGTCATTGTTCTGAAGATGAGAGGGCTTTATTCAATAATCCTGACAACTGTGGCATCCTTCGAGACAGATCTGGACCTTTTGCAGCTTGTCATGAGGTGCTTTCACCAGAGTCTTTTGTGTACAATTGTGTGTATGATCTGTGTTCGGAGGGAGGGCAACAAGACATTCTCTGTCTAGCCCTAAATGTCTACGCCAGTCAGTGTCAAGAAAAAGGTGTACAACTACAAACATGGAGAAGCCCCGGCTTCTGTGGTATATCAACCTCTACCTGTTTTAATTGTCTTAAATAATAAACAGGGATTATCCAGTTGATTTCATCTTTTTGTTGTAGAAATCATATGTCCAGAAAACAGCCACTTTGAGCCTCAGAGCACAGGATGTCCAGCTACTTGTGTCAACCCTGAGTCTCATAATGACTGTGCACTCGCTCCCCTTGAGAGCTGCGCTTGTAATGAAGGCTATGTTTTGAGCGGTGCAGACTGCGTGCCTCTCCATGAGTGTGGCTGTAACTTTGAGGGACTCTACTACCATTCTGGACAAACCGTAATACTTGGTCAAGACTGCAGCAGAATCTGTAACTGCATTTCCGGTAACATGACTTGCCATTCACATGTTTGTGGATCACATGAAGAGTGCAAGGTGTTTGATGGAGAAAGAGTTTGCTACCCTCACACATGCTCCATCTCAGGTGACCCTCTCTATTTTCATTTTTATAACAAATCTGTAAATGTTGTTTGTTTGTGTTTAGAACTGAGATAAGAACTGTATCATTGACTCTAAGCTGCAACACAATTAATCAAGGGAGTAATATACATATTTTACAGGTGTGCCCATCCAGCTGGGTGTGTCCGTCTGGACTGACAGTGCCTGTACAGTAAAGTGCACCTGCACCACATCTGGCTTGTCATGTCACAACGAATCCTGTGATATTTCCCAAGTCTGTGGCTCTCTTAATGATTTTCACTTTACCTGCCAGTCCATCCAGAAGGCTACCTTGCATCATCAGTGGTGATCCTCATTACACAACGTTTGACGGGAAGCGGTACGACTTCCAGGGCCCCTGCACGTATGTCCTGTCCCAGCAGTGTGATTCAGATCTGCCCAGCTACAGAGTAGAAGGCTCCAATGAGCATCGGGGCAGCTCTGCCACTTGGACACGACTGGTCAAAGTCTTTGTGTATAATGAAACCATTGAGCTTGTCAAAGGACATCGTGGTGAAGCCAAGGTTTGCAGTTATAATTTCAAGAGTACGCAACAGAATCAGGTTCTTATATATTAATGCTGTTGTTTTACAGGTCAATGGTATATTTGCAACGACCCCCTTCTCCTTAACCAATGGCGCGGTTCATGTTTATACATCAGGTTTTTCAATTGGTGTCAGTACTGACTTTGGTTTGGAGGTCTCCTATGATGCTCATCATCTTGTGAACATCAAAGTTCCATCCAGTTACCAGGGAGCAACATGTGGCCTTTGTGGGAACTTTAACAATGACCCAGATGATGACATTCAACCACCAGAAGGAGATATTGTGAGCCCTCTTGACCTTAGTCATAGCTGGTTGGTGCCAAATGCTGATGAGTCTGAATGCATGCCCTGTGAAGGTCAAGACTGTAGTCATTGTTCTGAAGATGAGAGGGCTTTATTCAATAATCCTGACAACTGTGGCATCCTTCGAGACAGATCTGGACCTTTTGCAGCTTGTCATGAGGTGCTTTCACCAGAGTCTTTTGTGTACAATTGTGTGTATGATCTGTGTTCGGAGGGAGGGCAACAAGACATTCTCTGTCTAGCCCTAAATGTCTACGCCAGTCAGTGTCAAGAAAAAGGTGTACAACTACAAACATGGAGAAGCCCCGGCTTCTGTGGTATATCAACCTCTACCTGTTTTAATTGTCTTAAATAATAAACAGGGATTATCCAGTTGATTTCATCTTTTTGTTGTAGAAATCATATGTCCAGAAAACAGCCACTTTGAGCCTCAGAGCACAGGATGTCCAGCTACTTGTGTCAACCCTGAGTCTCATAATGACTGTGCACTCGCTCCCCTTGAGAGCTGCGCTTGTAATGAAGGCTATGTTTTGAGCGGTGCAGACTGCGTGCCTCTCCATGAGTGTGGCTGTAACTTTGAGGGACTCTACTACCATTCTGGACAAACCGTAATACTTGGTCAAGACTGCAGCAGAATCTGTAACTGCATTTCCGGTAACATGACTTGCCATTCACATGTTTGTGGATCACATGAAGAGTGCAAGGTGTTTGATGGAGAAAGAGTTTGCTACCCTCACACATGCTCCATCTCAGGTGACCCTCTCTATTTTCATTTTTATAACAAATCTGTAAATGTTGTTTGTTTGTGTTTAGAACTGAGATAAGAACTGTATCATTGACTCTAAGCTGCAACACAATTAATCAAGGGAGTAATATACATATTTTACAGGTGTGCCCATCCAGCTGGGTGTGTCCGTCTGGACTGACAGTGCCTGTACAGTAAAGTGCACCTGCACCACATCTGGCTTGTCATGTCACAACGAATCCTGTGATATTTCCCAAGTCTGTGGCTCTCTTAATGATTTTCACTTTACCTGCCAGTCCATCCAGAAGGCTACCTGCATCATCAGTGGTGATCCTCATTACACAACGTTTGACGGGAAGCGGTACGACTTCCAGGGCCCCTGCACGTATGTCCTGTCCCAGCAGTGTGATTCAGATCTGCCCAGCTACAGAGTAGAAGGCTCCAATGAGCATCGGGGCAGCTCTGCCACTTGGACACGACTGGTCAAAGTCTTTGTGTATAATGAAACCATTGAGCTTGTCAAAGGACATCGTGGTGAAGCCAAGGTTTGCAGTTATAATTTCAAGAGTACGCAACAGAATCAGGTTCTTATATATTAATGCTGTTGTTTTACAGGTCAATGGTATATTTTGCAACGACCCCCTTCTCCTTAACCAATGGCGCGGTTCATGTTTATACATCAGGTTTTTCAATTGGTGTCAGTACTGACTTTGGTTTGGAGGTCTCCTATGATGCTCATCATCTTGTGAACATCAAAGTTCCATCCAGTTACCAGGGAGCAACATGTGGCCTTTGTGGGAACTTTAACAATGACCCAGATGATGACATTCAACCACCAGAAGGAGATATTGTGAGCCCTCTTGACCTTAGTCATAGCTGGTTGGTGCCAAATGCTGATGAGTCTGAATGCATGCCCTGTGAAGGTCAAGACTGTAGTCATTGTTCTGAAGATGAGAGGGCTTTATTCAATAATCCTGACAACTGTGGCATCCTTCGAGACAGATCTGGACCTTTTGCAGCTTGTCATGAGGTGCTTTCACCAGAGTCTTTTGTGTACAATTGTGTGTATGATCTGTGTTCGGAGGGAGGGCAACAAGACATTCTCTGTCTAGCCCTAAATGTCTACGCCAGTCAGTGTCAAGAAAAAGGTGTACAACTACAAACATGGAGAAGCCCCGGCTTCTGTGGTATATCAACCTCTACCTGTTTTAATTGTCTTAAATAATAAACAGGGATTATCCAGTTGATTTCATCTTTTTGTTGTTGTAGAAATCATATGTCCAGAAAACAGCCACTTTGAGCCTCAGAGCACAGGATGTCCAGCTACTTGTGTCAACCCTGAGTCTCATAATGACTGTGCACTCGCTCCCCTTGAGAGCTGCGCTTGTAATGAAGGCTATGTTTTGAGCGGTGCAGACTGCGTGCCTCTCCATGAGTGTGGCTGTAACTTTGAGGGACTCTACTACCATTCTGGACAAACCGTAATACTTGGTCAAGACTGCAGCAGAATCTGTAATTGCATTTCCGGTAACATGACTTGCCATTCACATGTTTGTGGATCACATGAAGAGTGCAAGGTGTTTGATGGAGAAAGAGTTTGCTACCCTCACACATGCTCCATCTCAGGTGACCCTCTCTATTTTCATTTTTATAACAAATCTGTAAATGTTGTTTGTTTGTGTTTAGAACTGAGATAAGAACTGTATCATTGACTCTAAGCTGCAACACAATTAATCAAGGGAGTAATATACATATTTTACAGGTGTGCCCATCCAGCTGGGTGTGTCCGTCTGGACTGACAGTGCCTGTACAGTAAAGTGCACCTGCACCACATCTGGCTTGTCATGTCACAACGAATCCTGTGATATTTCCCAAGTCTGTGGCTCTCTTAATGATTTTCACTTTACCTGCCAGTCCATCCAGAAGGCTACTTGCATCATCAGTGGTGATCCTCATTACACAACGTTTGACGGGAAGCGGTACGACTTCCAGGGCCCCTGCACGTATGTCCTGTCCCAGCAGTGTGATTCAGATCTGCCCAGCTACAGAGTAGAAGGCTCCAATGAGCATCGGGGCAGCTCTGCCACTTGGACACGACTGGTCAAAGTCTTTGTGTATAATGAAACCATTGAGCTTGTCAAAGGACATCGTGGTGAAGCCAAGGTTTGCAGTTATAATTTCAAGAGTACGCAACAGAATCAGGTTCTTATATATTAATGCTGTTGTTTTACAGGTCAATGGTATATTTGCAACGACCCCCTTCTCCTTAACCAATGGCGCGGTTCATGTTTATACATCAGGTTTTTCAATTGGTGTCAGTACTGACTTTGGTTTGGAGGTCTCCTATGATGCTCATCATCTTGTGAACATCAAAGTTCCATCCAGTTACCAGGGAGCAACATGTGGCCTTTGTGGGAACTTTAACAATGACCCAGATGATGACATTCAACCACCAGAAGGAGATATTGTGAGCCCTCTTGACCTTAGTCATAGCTGGTTGGTGCCAAATGCTGATGAGTCTGAATGCATGCCCTGTGAAGGTCAAGACTGTAGTCATTGTTCTGAAGATGAGAGGGCTTTATTCAATAATCCTGACAACTGTGGCATCCTTCGAGACAGATCTGGACCTTTTGCAGCTTGTCATGAGGTGCTTTCACCAGAGTCTTTTGTGTACAATTGTGTGTATGATCTGTGTTCGGAGGGAGGGCAACAAGACATTCTCTGTCTAGCCCTAAATGTCTACGCCAGTCAGTGTCAAGAAAAAGGTGTACAACTACAAACATGGAGAAGCCCCGGCTTCTGTGGTATATCAACCTCTACCTGTTTTAATTGTCTTAAATAATAAACAGGGATTATCCAGTTGATTTCATCTTTTTGTTGTAGAAATCATATGTCCAGAAAACAGCCACTTTGAGCCTCAGAGCACAGGATGTC